CCCAGGGAAGCAGGGCAATTTGCCATTTAAAGGGCCCGTTACAAATAGCAGTTTGTAACAAGGTGTCAATCCATATCTGCCAAGTGACCCGATGTAGGGGGAACAGTCCCTATTCTGCTCTGTGTCAGTGTGTATCAGGGATCCTTAGGACAGGTGTCAATCCATATCTGCCAAGTGACCCTATGTAGGGGGACCAGTCTCTATTCTGCTCTGTGTCCGTGTGCATCAGGGGCTCTGAGGACAGGTGTCAATCCATATGTCAAGGTGTCAATATGTCATATGTCAGGTGTCAATCCATATTGATTGTGATTTAGGAATGTTAGGTGATTTCTGCCCTTTATGGATTAAAACCAGACTCTGTATCAACTGTGTAATTTTCCATGGGAGTTTTGCCATGGATCCCCCTCCGGCATGCCACAGTCCAGGTGTTAGTCCCCTTGAAACAACTTTTCCATCCCTATTGTGGCCAGAAAGAGTCCCTGTGTGTTTTAAAATTCGCCTCCCCATTGAAGTCAATGGCGTTTCGGGCGGTTCGCCGGTTCGCGAACATTTGCGGAAGTTCGCGTTCGCCGTTCGCGAACCGAAAATTTCGGGTTCGCGACATCACTATGGCTGCACAGTTATATATTTTTATGTATTTTATTGTCTTTTGCTGCCATGTGTTCAATGGAGTTTTGCCTCTGTCCTTGGAGATAATTGGATTACTTCCCTATTATCTCCAGGATAGAAGACTCTGTGGAACTGGTTTTGGGCAGAAAAGCCATGCTTCATTTGGTCACAAAGGACTACGTTCTATCTTTTGAACCACTGGACCAATTTGTGTGATTTTGACGCATGTTTGTATTTGGAGTATGAAATGTAAGTTTTATGTGAATGTGATGCATACTTTTAAAATTATGAATAATGTGAAAAAACTGTATTTCTCTGCCTGTGATAATTACATTACCCATTGTGTAAGGTAATTGTATCACAGGCAGAGGGGAGGATTTTGTGTGGGAGTGTCTGAGTGTATTGTACGTGTTTATTGGTTGTTTTCCAAAACCCTGTGGGTGGTACTAATGTGTAAGAATGTGTATATAAGAACAATAAACCCACAGCTCTGTCTGTTCCTGCTTGAAAACGGAGCCTTGTCTCGTTCTTGGGGGGACTTGTTGTATGCTGTTCCAGTTCGACTGCTAGGAGTTTACAGCATTCGTATTTTGAGAGCATTCGTATGCTTCTCCGGTTCGGTGGATTGGTGTCTACAGTAGCTGCCTGTATATCTGGAAGGGAATATCTCCTAAACGGCTTTTAACCCCTTTTTATGCCTGGGGGTGCCGTTACAGTTCCGTTTCTAGGGTATATTAAGACCCTTGGTGTTATGGGTGTATATTTTTATGGGGGATCTTGTAGAAGGACATCAGGTGATATTATCATTGGCATATCTATTGTTGGGGGTGCCCCCCTTCCCAGCGTTCTCGAACCAGGTGGCATCTCACCACGTGGGGTGTCTAGTATGTGAGTGCCCCTCTGATGGGGCGTCCCGTAATGTGTGGTGATGTGCTGGTGCTTTGTGTGCATAATCCATGTGAAACAATAAATGAAGAAGTAAAACATAATAAACAATACAACTGTAAGTAAACTGCACAGCACCTATTAATGGTGCTGTGGGGGATGAAGCTTCCATTCCTGTGCATAGCAGTCCTATAGGCCTAATCCTCTTTATACTCAATATGTTCACCTCCTTCCCACTTGGCCATGGACCTTGTCTGGTGTCGTGGGGCTTCGTTGCGCCTACCCCTAGATCCCCTAAGTTGCGCTGTTACTCAGATGGTAGCTAGAATGAGGTGCGAGGCCTGTCCCACCCGAACCCCTTGTCGTGTCTGAGCTCCCCTTACACAATGACAGTCCCAAAGAGTCTCTTAGCAGTACTTGCCACTTTCTGCGATCAGTGTCCCCTGTCACTATTTGCTAATGGGACAGTCTTCCATGACGGGGTGATAGTCCCCAGTCTCTTAGGGCTTTCCTATGAGGATTGTAGCCAGCAGTGGAAGAGTTAATTCAGTGTGATTTGACTGTCAGCCAAAGTTTTTATTGCTTTACTGTGTACTGTTGTGAAATTCTGTCTTCTCTGTGAATTTGGTTTCTAAGTTGAGTGTCCTATCGTAAATCTTAAACTGTTGACAACTGTGCATATAACTGTTGCCTTTAGCTGTCTATATTGTGTTAAACCACTTTCATATTGTATACTTATGTTATACTTAAATATTCACTGATTATTGTCACGCATGTTACATACCGGTATATTATTTTTATTATTATTGTCACAATAAATTATATTTTTATAATTAATTTGTGATTACTGTGTGAATTACTTCTAGTGAAACCTCCTCAAGGATCTAAGAGAATTAAAATAGTGGGTCATTTTCAGCTTTAAAATCATTAATCGTGGAACAGTGCCAAGATATAAATTTTTGATATAATAAAAATTATTAAATACATTTTTCATAATTTTTATGAAAATATTTTTAATATTTAACACCCCACAGCATGTCTGTATGTATGTCTGTATGAATGTCTGTCAGTTTGTATTAATGTATGTATGTCTGTCTGTAAGTATGTATGTATGTATGTCTGTATGTATGTATGTCTGTCAGTAAGTATGTATATATGTATGTATGCCAGTATCAATTTATGTCATTATAAATGTATGTCTGTGTGTATGTATGGATATCAGTGTCAGTATGCATGTATGTCAGTATGCATGTCTGTCTGTCTGTCTGTCTGTATGTATGCCAGTATGAATGTATGTCATTATGAATGAATGTATGTATGTCAGTATGTATGTATCTTTATGTCCTTAGAAGTGTGTGTGTGTGTATGTATGTTAGTATGCGTCTGTCTGTCACTATGTATGAGTGTGTGTCTGTATATGTGTGTTTGTCTCAGTATGTGTGAATCAGTGAATCAGGGGGTGTAGTGTGTATATAGGGGGTGTAGTGTGTATATAGGGGGTGGATATAGGGGATGTACTGTGTATATAGGGGATGAAGTGTGTAAGTGGTTAGGCATAGTTTACGTAAATAAGGGCTGAATAGGGTTAAATAACCAATTTGCTAATTTAAACTAAAATAAAAAACCTACACATTTACTCCCCTTTCCCCTTATTAACCTGGTGATCGAGTGGGCTAGTGATGTGGTCTGTACCCTGTGTGCAGCCTGGAGGCCCTTTGCTCCTAACCAAATTCCCTTCTGAACCATGAGGGAAAGGACCTGTTCAGAGTCCTTGGGCCGGCAGGGGAGATTTTGGGCCGGCAGGGGAGTTTTTTGATCTTCCCTTGCTGACCTTGGCCCATGGCCATCGCGGCCCACGAGGCATTTGCCCAGGGCCTGATTGGTGGTGATTTATGATGATGATAATGATGGATATGATAATGTGGCATGGCGCTTTTCATAGAGAAATTTTGTTTTTGGTTTTCCTGTTTGTGCCAATATTTTTCTTTGTAAAGCAAAGATAGCATAGGCACTCACTATAGCATACATCTTTCTGCCAATTTCTTCAGCAGAGTGCCATTTCTTCAGTGTTGTCACATGAACAGATATAAAAAAAAATATTTACAAAAATGTGAGGGGTGTACTCACTTTTGTGAGATACTGTTGATATCACCTAAAAATTGTTATATGTACCCTCAATATATGTGTTATTTTTAATGTATACATTGTGAAAAATATGAAGTTTTTTGTGCCAGTTTTAATATGTTTATTACTATCTATCTATATGGGGGGGCATAGCAACCAAATGGATACAGTTGGTTTGACAGTTGTAGGCAGAGAATTCTGGGAAAATTACCAGACTACTGGTGACCAATGCTGAGGGAGCCTGGCAGTGTCTTTATAATATATATATATTTGGGGAATTAATAATATAGATTTTTTTTTTTTTATGTTTCCGTGTCTGGAGGATTGCCAGACAACTTAGGCAGTCCCCCTGCAGTTCTTCAGCCGGGAATTCTGGCTCTATGCCGCCATAACAATTTTTTTTGCCCATTATAATGCGGACAGCATAGAGCGCAGTAACCCCTGTTGACCCCCATTAAAGGGTTAAACGTTTCTAGTTCGAATAAATTTGTATTCTCACTTTGGTGAACCCAACTATGTTCAATAAAATCTGTCATTAAAAAAAATAAAAGACAAATATAATTTCTCCAATCTAGAAAATGTTACTTAATTATATTTGGCAATCTTTCTTTTATTGAGGTAAGCGTATCGTACAGTACAGAAAACAGAAAGAGGAGACATAAATTGTGTATTCACAACATGAGTAACAAGTAAAATATGCTCCTAGATAAATTAGAATCTTTTTTTTGGGGGGCGAGAGCAATAAAACAAGTGAATCAATGAAATGAGTGAGCAGGGGTAATGATGAAATCAGGCCACACAAAGTGAGAGTATGATTAGTCAAGATAATAAGGTTAATGTATCACGCTAATACCATAAGAACAGGATGAAGAGGACTCCTGCAGACGTATTATGCTATGCACTGGTGTCGGTTGAACTTATAGTAGACTTGGCATAAACATTGATTGACTGTGAATGTATGCAAAAGTAATAAAAATAACAGGAGCAAGCAGAACACAGGCAAAAAAAACTGCAGGAGTATGGGAAAATAAAATCATTGAAAGCTGCCACTCGGTGTTAATGAATAGAGAGACTATACATAGTAGATGGCAAGGATTTGGAGGCCTTATCGCCAGCCCGACAGGATTCGCTATAGAGAAGGGGGATAAATTCCCAAGTCACCAGCAAGTCTTCCCAACAGCCCCATACCCCTCTTCGATTCATTCCACTGGACTCACTGCCCCAGCCATATCCAACGACCAAATCAGAGTCCCACGTGTCAGCTGTGTCAGCATGCCATGACTGTTTCCAGATAGTGAGCTGTGTGAGGGATGACGACCCGTGCAGATCATGATCCAGGTGAGTGGCAATGTAGCCGGGGGAGCTGTCTTCCTGCAGCGTAGCACCCGTCTTGGTCTCTCCCTCAGCTTTTTTGGCAGTGTATTGAGCGTGATGCCACGTAGGGCAGGCTGAGCTCGGCGGACTTGTCTCGTAGTTGCAGAATAGGCTTCTCTGTTCCCTTGCTCATGGTAGCCCAGCGCTGTATCACCATGCGGTTGGAGGCCTCAGCAGGTGAGGCAGGATTCCTGGCACAGCTTTGCAAACTTTGCCTCGAAGCGTTCCCGCCAAGTCAGCTTATCCTGGTCTGTGAAATTCAATGGAGATTGCAAAGTGGTGGCCAGCATAGACTCTCAGGACGGTCTCAAGGCTGGCAGATGTCAAGAACATTACTACAGATAAGTAAAGTGCCCCAGCGATAACCAGTATATCCCCCACCGGTACTGGGCTTCAGACAAGTTGCTTGGAGCCATGTGTCCAAAATATTTATTATTGACTACATCTCAGATTAACAGCAATCAGCCATCCAGTCGAAATCTTTAAATTCTTCCTGCGCTGCCATAGATGGTGCTCTTGGCCATTCTGGAGTTATTATAGGCGCTTTTCTTGTAAACATGCTGTCAAAATTGCTGAGATTTTCAATTCCGTTAATCACTGGCACAAATGGAGGGGTGACGTTCTTTAATAATAATGCAGTCCAGTCGACGTGCTGGAAAGGAATATGTAATTATGTAAATAATTGTATAAATCAGTAAAATAATTATATAAAACTCATTGTAATGAAAAATATGGCCAAAGAACTTTAATCTGTGGGGATCCCAATGGGTTTCTCAAAAAACAATCTAAGGACCATAAGCCCTATATCCTGTTGTGTAATTAGTCAAACTGTTTGTGAAAAGTTTGACAACTTCCTGGCAGTCACCTCCTCCTATGCAGCCTGCAAGCTCAAGTTAGCTTGATGGTCATAACACTCTCAGCCAATGAGCCGGCACGTGGCTGGTGCACAGTGGACACCAAGTAAGCTGTCAAGCCATTCACAAATAATTTGACTACTACATTAGGAAGGTGTTAGCCGGATGCCGTGGTTATGGTGATTGGAGTGTTCTTTTAAATTACCAGACTGGAAGGATATTTTGAAAGACTAGTGAGGATAACATCAAATACGAAAATCATATATGTGTTCAAGTATACAGTCTTTAAATCTGACTTGTCCTTTTTACAGCCTAGGTAGTTTGTGGTTTGGGAACTGGTGGAATGTACAGTAATCTGTTAAAGTGTCAATTTTGAGTTCGTGAGATGCCTGGCACAGTACAGTCTCCTGCAAATAAAGTTATAAAACACTTCCTGCTGCTGCAGGTTCCAGGGGTTCAGAGCTGGGTATGATTTTCCTACAATTCCCTGACTGTATGTAAATTCCAAAGCATAGCTGACTTAGAGAATTTTTCCAGTTCAGCTATTATAATCTTTAGTTTGAAATTCACTTTGAATTCTCACTTTACTTAATAACCCTGATGATCTTTATTTACAAGTGATAGAACCTGACAGCAGAAGCTCTGCCTTTTATCAAGTTTTGGACTTGACCATAAGACAAAGTAGTTACTAGTTTGTCTTATATTATCTTTTAGAATTGCAGTGAAATCTCCGAGCAGTCAATATGAGTATTTCATAAATATTTTATCTCTATAGAATGCTCGTAAATAAATTTTTGTGACTAAATCAAAAAAAATAAAGATATATATATATATGTAACATATTTTCTACTTAAAATGTACGTACTTTGAAGAAAGAATGTCTCTTGACGTCTTCTGCATCCTGCTTGCTGGCTCCCAGACGTGCCTTTTCTTTTTTAGTCAGTAGCTGGAAAAATAATTTTTAATGCATATTGTTAATTTTCGTGATAAACAATTAGTATGACATGTCTTTTCCCTGCAGGTGCTGTAGAGGATGTCTTTATCATCTCAAGCTGTGTACATTAATGCAGAGTTTAATAAATTGCCTATCACCATGTCACTGTGATAAGAAGGCAATGTCTCCAACAAAACATTGTCCTGTCCTGACTGCTGGCGTGATTCATAGTTATTGCTTGCTGTTTATGTAATCATTATAAGGCTCCAAAAATATACATCTCCACCAATGTCCATCTGCAGCCCAGGAGTGTACCCCCAAGCAGGACAAGTACCAGGCCAAGAAGCTGGGTTCTCACTGTGCTCATCCTGCACAGCTCCCTAATGTGCCCTTTAGTTATACCAAAGCCAGAATGTGACATCACTACGACTCCGGCGTCACTACAAGGTTCGGATGGGAGCTGCGGAGGAAGATCATACTGACATTTTCTGTGTGATTGTGTATGACTGGCAGCGTTATTTAGTGTGGGGACTTCAAAGTGAATTCCAAATTTGGAGATATTGTCGAATTTGGCTATTTTGTCCCCTTTTTTAAATCAATTTTTAAAAATCTTAGTTTAAAAAAACAACCTTGTCTTCACGAGAATGAGTATGTGTACAATAAAGTAACAAAAATGAGTATGTATGATGTTTGTTAATCATAAATTAGATATAAGTGGTGTTAATCTCACTGTTTGATGGAGATGATGACAATGCAATGTTTTATTCCAAAAACTAAAATCCTGCATGGGTAGGCAGCTCGCTAGGGCTGAATTTCCAATCATCAATGGGGAATGGATGTTTTGAGCTTGGCTTATACAAACTACTAAATTTATCAAAAGGTCAACATGAGTGGTGACTTACCTTTGTTATTATTGACTTGGCTTTTCTGGACAAAGATCTGGGATATTTAACTTTAGCTTTAATGATTTTAGCAATTAATTCCTCAGTATCATAACTTTTACTTTCAAAGGGGAACTAGAAAAAAACAAATACATATTAAAAAATTCAGGTTTAGCTTGTAAAGATGCAACATGCAGAAGTAATAACTGAGCAATAAATTAATAGTTTAAGGTTTTTATAATTCTAGTAGATCAGATGACACAATGCGTAAATCAGCATCAAAGGTTGGTTGTGCACGTGTGTGAAAAGTACGCAGTGTGCAAGAGACCTGAACTGTGTCATTATATACATCATCAGGAGTACCGCAGGGGAGGGGCACGTGCCTCAGCATGCTCTGTGATTGGTTGGAATTGTAAGCTAAGCAATTTCAATACAATGAATATTTCATTTTAATCCTAGAATTTGTTTTTATTTTAAGCTGGTGAATTTATTTATTTTATTTTGTACAGTAACATTGGGTTATGATGTTTCTCTATATTGAGCCAGAACTATTAGCAAGGAGCAGTATACAGAGGGTTACTCACACTAGCTACACACAGCTATCTACCAGTCACCCGAGCACTAAGTAACTGGTCCAGGGGCAGAAGATGGAGATAATTTATTGGTAAGATGTATTTCACTGTCTGGTAATGTTGGAAACTAATCACGTAGAGCCAAATGCCAGCCAAATGTTTTGGGGGAACCCGGAGTTAATTGCAAGGCGGTGAGACAAATGAGGAATGAAAATGTCTCGAGACTTAGTTTGGGAAAGGAAAGGTTTAATTTGCAGGGGAATGTTGGGATGTAATATTTGGAGTTATGAGGTTAATTTGCATACCAACATTGGGGTGAATGTTGCAGAGAAAGGGATTATTGAAAAAGGGGAAGCCTAAAAATCTTTAACCAGGGCCCTGTCTACATTAGTTCTGCCACTGATAAAATGCAGAGCAAAAATGTTTAGTGTAACACAAAAGTGAGTAAAACACAAAAATATTACTTTCAGTATTCACACTGTAGACTAATATTTTCATTGAATGAATCATCAGAAAGAATGAAGAATGGCCATGAGGAAAAGTAAAAAAAAAAAAAAAAAGAATAGAACAGAGCAAAATTTTAATAAAGAATGGTACTATGTTTAAAACAAATATGTGACAGAATCTAGTTAAATTGGTATTAAATATTCAAAACAGAAATCTGTCTACAAATTGTTAATGAAACACTGTTGTTACCTGATCAGTTAACATTATATAAATAACGACACCGAGACTCCACCAGTCTACGGCTCTCGTGTACGGCTTGTTCTTCAGGACTTCAGGTGCCGTATAAGCTCGTGTTCCACACAGGGTGTTGGTTCTGTCTCCAAATCCCAGTCCTCAGAAATAGAGAAAATCTAATTGAGTTTGACTAAAAACACAGAGGTCATTTATATTTCTTACCTTTAATTTACTTTAAGGTTACTTTTAATTGTAAAGGGGTTGCCCCAAGTACAATGACCACCTCGTGGATTTGAAGTGGTCAAGGTGCCTGGAGTCCGTATATGCAGTGTTTTGCTGTGAAACGCTGCACATACCGACTTTAACTCCTTGGCTGCTGGAGTTATATGTCCTCCTCTGGCGACACCACTTGGGTCATCAGCCAACCAAGAACTTATTTATTTATTTATTTAGCACAATGTGCCATTCGTCAGCTGACCTTCTTAGCCAATAAATGACGACTGTATTGAATTCTTACAGGACTACCTGGAAACTAAAAGTCCCCAAAAAACACTGTAACATAAAAAATAAAAATGTTTATTTTTAATGTCTATTTTGGAAGCATACATTTCATAGACAACATTTTATATGTTAGATATAAACATATATGTTGTTTATGTCAAAGCTAGGTTCGATATTGCAGATCACTTTTGACCTTTATTTATTTACCAAAAATTATGTTTTAATTAGAAAATGATATTTACCTTCTTTGCTAAGGCCATAATCAGTAATTTTTGCAAACCCTTCCTGATCTATAACTATGTTGTCCAGCTTGAGATCCCTAAATTAAAGTCAGAAAATTAAGTTTATTCATTTTACATAACACTACAGGGCACTTAGGACAAGTCTCACTGGTTAGGCTTTTTCAATGGTTAAATTGAAGAATTTAATATAGATTAAACAAACGGGATTAACCCCTTAAGGACACATGACATGTGTGACACGTCATGATTCCATTTTATTCCAGAAGTTTGGTCCTTAAGGGGTTAAACAGACTAGCTGCAATAAATAATCCAAATATAAGCTCCATATTTAGTTTGTTCTTCAAGCATACCTGTGTACAATCTTTTGTTCATGTAAATATTCCAGTCCAAGGACGACACACGCAGCATAAAATCTGGGAAGAATAAATAAATCAGTTCATTGCTAGAAAATGCGGTGTTTGTAAATGGTTCTAGATTGGTCGTTTATAATTTACAGCTAGTTCCATTCACCAATTTCTGTGCTTTCAAAAACGCTAGATATAATTACTGTATGTGGCCAGATGTAACAGCACTAATACACCGGGTTATTTACTAGAATTCAAAGAGAATTCGAAATTCATTTCGAAATCAAGGCCAGAGTAACCAATCTGAAAGCATAACTGACTTGGAGAATGTTTCCAGTTTGGCTCTATTGACCCTACATTTTAAATTCCCTTTGAATCCTCAATTTAGTGAATAACTGTGATAGCATTTGCACACATGCAGCAAAGAGATATAGAGCAGCACATGGAATATACATGCAATTTATAACACTAAGTAATTCAATACATCTTTGTTAATGGCTAATCATGTTTATACACATTCTAAAACCTACATTGATATCTTACGTCATCCTCCGTTACAGCTGATTTCTTGTCAATTATACTTCACCATTTATTTGAAATAAAATCTTTCTTTTATAAATAATTTGTCAAATTCTGTTTTAATGATGCTGTTACTGATGTAATGTAAAGGGGATTGTTTCTCCTACTTGCTTTATCTTCTTTTTTAGTTATTCTATAAACATAATTTAAAAAAAAAACACACAGTGGATCCCATGCCATTTGACATCCCAAGTGTAACAGCTTTAAATAACTATTTTACTGATAATCTGAATAGAATTTATGGAATGTTTTTATTAATATAATCTTTATTAAACACATTTTTTTTTTTTTTTTTTTAAAGAAAACACACACCATTACATACATATACACCAATCTGCAGGGATTTTTCTCTTCTATATAGAGCCAAATAAGAGAATATCGATGTATCTCCCTCACTCACAGACACTAAACATTAACAAGTTACAATTACCATACATCTCTACGTATACAAGACAATGTAACTAAAGAGAAAAAATACACTTTCAAATTTTTCGGAGGAAAGCGGAAATTTTGTATACATTATAAATTATTCAAAATATGAACTATATTTTACAATAGTCTCATAAGAAAAATATATTTTTAACAGATATAAAAATTAACGGATGCTTTTATTCGTCAATTTCTTTTCCTAATCAGCTCCCAACACTTATTCCAAACAGTTACTTTTTTTACTTAGGTTCTGTTTACTCAACACTAATTCCATTTTAATTTGAAACTCAAGTTGGGCCTTTACTCTCTCCCAAGGGATATGTATATCATTTTTCCAGTTTCTTGCAACAACTATTTTGGCCGCTAAAAATAGATGAATAAGTATGATTTTGGATTCATAAGGCATTGCAGGCCAGTTTAGATGGAATTTATGGAATAGATCTGCTGCTTATACTCACATAGCTCTGGGTTTTGAAAACGGACCCCCGTTGTTATAGAGGTTGTTCACTAAGTCTCCTCCAGCAGCGAATTCCATCGCAAAACAGGCGTGATGTTCATTGTGGAAACACCCAAACAAGTTTACCAAAAATGGATGCCGTCTGTTGCTCACTGTTTGGAACACGAGCTTCTCACACATAAGTCTGGAAAATAAAAATAAAAGTTAAAAGTAGTTTTTCTCCCGCTCTCCGAAACCAAACGACAAAATAAAAGAAGACCGAAAACATGATCTTGTCTTCCCAGAAAACAAGCTAGGTCTTAGATGCTCTTCATTTACTGACCTATGGATCTTGTTTGATGATACTATTTTATTTATCTTTAAGACTTTCAAGGCATACATATTCTTTGTATCCTTGTACTCTGCCAGCAGCACCTAGTATTAAAAATGGAAAGACAAGTTATTGTGATACCTGTTATATGAAACTAGAATTGGAATTCCCCCTTAAACTTACTTTTGCAAAATTCCCTCTACCCAGCACAGAGTGAAGCTTGAAATCTTGCAGGCTGAGGGGAATTTGATGCTGAATACTGCCAAGAAAGGAATACATTCAAAAATGATTGAAATAAGCTAGGAAGCTACCTACCCCCACCACACAATAAGACAAAAACGCAAAACGAATTGCTCCCGCAACACATAGTAGGTAAGTGATCATACCATGGGCCTGCAGATGTTTCAGAAGTGGAAACTTGTATACCAGGATCACCTATTGCTCTGGAATTCTAAAAAAGAAAGCCATATACAATAAGTGTCACTTCTGTTGAATGTATTACATTAAACAACATATTGACAATCATCTTGTGTTAACCATTCTTTCCTCGAAATTTTTCATTTAAATTTATGTTAAAGATTTGATTGAGCAAATGGCAAAGTCAGGGCAAGCATTGCTAATACCGAAGAGAAACAGAAGCAGTGTTTAATTTGTCCTCTTCTCTGTACAATTTCTTTATGAGAACTTATAACATTGATTGACAGGTAGTTAAAGTGGTGGCACTTTAATTGCTGGATGTGTGGGTTTAATTTTTACACACTGCAAAAACAGATCAAGAAATGCAATCCCCTTGGGTAAACAATGAAGCTAAAAAGGCAGAATAATAAACAATCAGTAAACCAAAGACACTTTGCAAGGATAACTAATAATAACTAATAAACCAGAAGTGTTTACAGCCCATCCTCAGGCTGCCACTGGGGCCAGCAATACTTTTTAAACTACTAGAAGTGACCTGTAATAAAGGAAATTAATCTAGTTAAAAAAACACTCCAGGAACCATACCAACTTTATCTCATTGAAGTTGTTATGGTGCCTGGAGTACTCAGGTGCAGACTTACATTTAATTGTTAAACTGTTCTCGAATGGTTTAACACCACAAAGTGTCACCATGTGCCAGTTTCTGCCTCTTCTGCTCAGACTAATAAAGATGCATAAGCGTAAGCAGGAGATGGAGGCACTGTTCGGATTAAAATGTCAACTGACGCTCTCAGCCTATTACTGGTTGGCCATCGCTAGTAAATATCTTTTCATTTCTACCCTTTGCTTGAGATAGGCGGCCAGTGATAGGTTGAGAGCTACAGAGTGAGAAAGATCAATTCCCAGTAATGTACTAGGTTGGAATAATGGGATTAAAGCTGCAACAATTACTGTCTGGAAATTGCTCTAACTATAAAGAGCACGTTAATGAGACACAGAAACGGGGCGACCAGAACATAAAAAAAATGAGTTAAATATTTAACTACATTGAGGTAAGAACAAAAAAAGATCTGCTTCTACCCCTCTAATTAAAAATATTTATAATTGAATAAAAAGCCACCCCTGTATTCTCCTTTAGGACGCACCCATGGATTACATTGGAGTTAAAATGTTAGAGCTCTCATTTCATGAATTACCATTAATACTGTAAACATGCTAATTTCTCATTGCATAAATGAGGCTTTGAAGAGGCCTTTTGTGGGTGCCAGGGACAGCCTGCTTTTTACCAAAATGTTCGTAAAGGGTTTCACAATAAAAGTGGGCGAGTACCAACAGACTCTCTGCACTATAACTACTACACGGAGCTGCAATGGTTATTGTACACAGCATGCACATTTAATGATAATGTTTATGAGTAAAAAAAAAAACAACAACAAAAATTTCAGCTTACCTGAGCCAGTATATCCGGGGCCGTTTCCAGTGAAACAGCAACTATATTATTGACTGTTTCCAGAGCTGCTAATAATGTTTCTTCTGGAAAAGGGTTGAAAGAACATAATATTAATATTGTATATAACATACAGAGATCAATAATACTACATTTATTGTCAACTTAATTTAATTTTATAAATAAATCGCTACGTTACTCATATTCTAATAATGTTTATATATATATATATATCAGGTCAAAGAAAACAAGCCATACTCCCCAGCCTAACACTTACAAAAATATAAAATATTTTTCTTTGTGACCTAATAAGTTTCCTTTAAATGACATATGAGAGTACTAAAACTTTACCTCTAACAATAGAGGTTTCTTGCAGAATTAGAATGCGTAAACTGTCTATTTTCTTCTCATTTTCTTGAAGTGTTTCCTGGACAGCTACAATATGTGCAATATTCTGTAAAAGTAATAAGAGTAGTCAGATAGATAATTGATGTATAAAGAAATGTAGGTTTGCTTCTCATCAGTCTAGAAAAAAAAATATTAACTACTCACAACTCAAATACATATGGTCTATATTAAATTCTTATTGGACCTTAAACAATAATTTGTATCAAAATGTTAAACTACTATAGTGTGATTTCCAGCCAGGACTATAAATTATATTCTTTTTCATTTATCTTTCATTATTTGAGAGTCTTTATGGCTCAAAATATATTAGCTGTATTGTTACATCTGGGGAAAGAGGTACACAGACTACAGTGCTCCTTTGCAGGCACACTAAATACCACCATCACACTATTAAAGGACCACTCTAGGCACCCAGACCACTTCAGCTTAATGAAGTGGTCTGGGTGCCAGGTCCCTCTAGGGTTAACCCATTTTTTTATAAACATAGCAATTTCAGAGAAACTGCTATGTTTATCAATGGGTTAAGCCTTCCTCCAAAGCCTCTAGTGGCTGTCTCATTGACAGCTGCTAGAGGCGCTTGCGTGATTCTCACTGTGAAAATCACAGCGAGAAGACGCCAGCATCCATAGGAAAGCATTATGAATGCTTTCCTATGAGACCGGCTGAATGCGCGCGCATTCAGCCGAATGGGAGGAGAGGAGGAGTAGAGCTCCCCGCACGGCGCTGGAAAAAAGGTAAGTTTTACCCCTTTTCTCTCCCCAGAGCCGGGCAGGAGGGGGACCCTGAGGGTGGGGGCACCCTCAGGGCACTATCGTGCCAGGAAAACGAGTATGTTTTCCTGGCACTATAGTGGTCCTTTAACTTAAATCAGACTTAATGATGTCAGGGGGAAAAAAATGCATACTTTGTAAAAGGTGTTTTGTTTTAAAAATCCCTCTGTCTAAAAAAAATCTATTTAAATATAACTTACTTTGGAAAGATTTTTTGAATATTCTCGGATCATATTCTCTGCTCCATGCTTGACTTTCAGCTCAATTTCCAGTTGTTTCTGCAGATTAGTCAGCTTTTCATTATCTGCCTGGGAGCTGTCAGCTTTAGGAGCATTTGAGATCTCTGGACATACCATAAATTAGTAACAAGAAAAATAATACAACATTTAGAAATATATTGATCAATAAATGAATAAAAATAAACGATAACATTAAAAAGTGTAGGTTAAGTCATTAAAGTTGCCAAGAACTCAAAGAGCAGTAGTAAATCAAAAAGTAGGCGTACATCATTGAAAGAAAAGATAAATCCAGCGTAAACAAAAAGTCCGCCATGGCGCTTGATGACATCACATTTGGATGCCATGCACAAGAGTTTGTTTGGCGTGTGCACTTCATAAAATATTATTACATATTTATTTAGCAACATTTTAATTTGATTAATTATGTGTAATGCAATAAAGATTGTGTCAGCTACAGTGTTTATTGCACATTTAAAGGAACACTCCCTGCACAGTAACCACCACAGGCTGATATAGTGGTTATGGTGACGGTAGTGCTCAAGGGGCTATTTTAGTTCCTACCCAGTGCTGCATGCTCTACATTCAGTCTTCTACAGCGTGTGAATCCAGATTGCCCTATAAAGTAAAGTAGGGAAATGCTGAAACGGTCTCATCGGCTGTGAGTGTCAGCTGAGCACTCTCAACCAATGAACATCATTCATCAATAACCATGTTTTATTTTTACAGAGATATCCCGCTTCTCCTGGATGCAGCAGATGTGGCGCAGGTGCCCAGTGGGTCACAGGTGAGTTGTCAAACAGCACAAGGACACTGCTAGCACCATAAATCCTATAGATGTAGTTGTTATGGTGCATGGAGTATTCCTTTAATACACTTAATTTAGTTAATAGTTACAGGTGCATTTGACTCACTTATGTTTCTGGTAAAAGAACAAGGCAAATCCTTCCTCAGTTAGACTATATTTGTGCTGCATATTTTCACTCTGTGTAATGTGAGTTAATCTGATGCTAAGTAAGTGAGTCTATAGTGAGTCTAAACTCTCATACAGCACTTTGCATGTGTGCAATAACTGTTCACAAACTTATAATTTACTAAAATCTCTAAATTATCCACCTGATTGTAATATTAAAGGATCACTATAGGGTCAGGAACACAAACATGTATTCCTGAACCTATAGTGTTAAAACCACCATCTAGTCCCCCTGGGCCCCTCATGCCTCCATAATTATTGTAAAATCTTACTGTATTCAAGCCTGAAGCTGTAACTCTGCATGCTGTTAGACTCATAAAAACAAGCAGTGTGCTGACATCATCAGAGGTGGTAGCCTGATCCAATCACGGTGCTTCTCCATAGGATTGGCTGAGACTGACAAAGAGGCAGATCAGGGGCAGAGCCAGCATGATTCAAACTCAGCCCTGGCCAATCAGCATCTCCTCATAGAGATGAATTGAATCAATGAATCTCTATGAGGAAAGTTCAATGTCTGCATGCAGAGGGAGGAGATACTGAATGTTTGGATGCATTTTAGGCAGCCATGACCCAGGAAGGATCTCTAACAGCTATCTAAGGAGTGGCCAGTGAAGTTATCACTAGGCTGTAATGTAAAGACTGCATTTTCTCTGTAAAGACAGTGTTTACAGCAAAAAGCCTGACGGTAATGATTCTACTCACCAGAACAAATTTAATAAGCTGTAGTTGTTCTAGTGACTATAGTGTCTCCTTCAAAAAGCAAAAGCTATTATTACTAATGATTGTCTACATGTCTGTATGTTACTTTTACACATTGACCACATTACATAGTATTTATACACGTTTTCCAGGAAATCTGTGGAATATAGATACAATAAACAAGTACACACTCCGGCTCTTACAATGAAACACAAAGTCTCTTAATGTACCTTTTGCTTCCTGCATAGTAAGCGCATTTCGCTCTTGGAGCTTATTATACAGCTCATAGAGTTTAATTTGAGATGTCTGTATAAATGTGTCCAGGTTAGCTAGTTGTTTTTTGTCTAAAGTGGCGTTCCTAATTTTTATGGCTCCTTCAATCATTTTCTTTTCTTTCACGATGTCCTCTATGATCTGCTCCTTTATTTTAACATTGTCCAGTTGAGCTGAACGGTTAAAGGTGTCTTTGATTGACCAATCATCAGCTATCGGAATGTTCAGATCAGTTAAAGAGAAACCATCACCTGAGGATGAGCCATTGTCAGTTTTAGAAGAGTCCGGAGTGTGTGAACACTCTAAATTTTTAAAAGATAAAGTCGTCAAATCACAACGAAGAGAGACAATATTGCTCAATCAAGATTACAAATACAAACAAGACAAAATGAGAAATGATATGCTCTAGTTATACATAAACTTTTGTTTAAACAGACACCTCATGTGTTGTTGCAAGAAGCTTCCCTTTCCTTGTGTTTGTCTTTTTGAAGCTTAAAACGACATTAACAAAAAAAAAGCAGCTCCCCCCCGGTCATAATAATATCCCCTACGTCCAGTGTCATTTAAAGATTTCTCAGGGAGAGCATTTGTTATGTTTACACATGAGTAGCAGCCAATAGCTCCATTCATTTGAAAACATGACTAGAGAACTGTTCTATTCATGTCTTTTAGTGAATTTAATTTCTGCCAAGAGCTGATCTACATGGCCATGCTCAGTTTGTGGGATATACTTAGCATTGTCATTTAAAATAATGGGGACACTAATATTAGCTGAAAGTTCAGATAATTCCTGGTCTTAGCCAGTAGTCTACTATGGATAGGGGTCAGCCCACGCAAGGGCCTACAAAATTAATTTGTTAGTTATCTACTATTCCCAGTTCAGTGAATAAAGTCTGTGTGTATTTGCTTGTGTTCGTTTTGTGAGAAGGAATGTGTATGAAGGCATGTTTGAGTGTCAGGGTTATTCATTCAAGTGAAACCCATCAGGAATTCAAAGTGAATTCCAAATTTAAGGCCAAAAAAGCAGAACCATGGTTGTTTCTGCTGTTTGGGAATAGGGGGAGTTTGAGCACCGGGCTTAGTTTTGTATGTTTGTATTTGTTATTGTATTAATCAGCCATGGTACAGTGCCGATCAACCTATGTGTTAACTATTAAGGGATAATAAGTGTGTAGGAGTTTAGAAAATTTTCTAGTGTAGTACTCACGTAAGAGATTTTCATTGATGTGGCAAGTTAGCTTACAGTTTGATGGCCATTGGAGTGATACCTAAAACCTAAAGTTATTTAAATGTATATAGGGATTGTGGGATAGTGCGCAGGTAACGGTTTTTGTTTTTTGTTCTATGTATTGGGGCTGATGTGTACTTCGGTCATTGCGGCTGTCAGGGAGTAGTGCGCATGGCTTCATTTTGTATATTTGGAGTGAATACAGTAGTGTGCTGCGTGTGTCTTAATTCAGTGGGGTACTTGTAAGGTGAAATATTATTTGTGAATTCAGGGGATATTTTAAAGAACTACTCTAAGCTCCACAACCACTAGTGCTGTGCTCAGAGTATGCCTTTAATGGACATCACTGTATGACTTATTTCTTCTTTGCCACTTCTAGTTTCCTATTGCAATAATCCGCCTACCTGCGTTTCTCTGTCTCTCTTTAATAACTCCAACTTACCTTTCTTTTTATTCATTCTCAGTTGTCTCTCTCTATTTAATAACTTTAACTTGTCTCTCTCTTTAGTAACTCCCACGTTTCTCTCTCTCTCTTTCATAACTCTCATTCTTCTCTCTCTCTAGTAACTCACTTCTCTATCTCTCTCTAGTAACTCCCATTTGTCTCTCTCTTTAGTAACTTTGACTTGTTTCTCTTTAGTAACTTTTACTTGTTTATCCCTCTCTCTTTAGTAACCCTCACTTGTCTCTCTGTCTCTCTCTCTCTCTCTTTAAAGGGCCACTATAGGCACCCAGACCACTTCAGCTCAATGTTTCAGAGAATGGCTATCCCCTGCTACACCTCCAATGGTAGGCGGCAGTGTTTTTAATTAGAATTGTGATAATATGTATTTTTTACACTTTTCATCGAGAGATTTTCTCTCTACTGCACTGCTGTGCATATCACCCACATTTACTTAAATAGACACACATATCACTCACAGCCACATACATCACACACAGACAGCTACAACACCAGTGAGCCATCTCCATCCATCACTGCTCGAGTACATAATTAGATACCCTTGCACTGTGCAGGGGGCTCTAGGACCATGCAGAGGGCACTATATCAATGCTCTCTGTATGATGTTCTCTGTGGGGGGCCAGCCAGGATGCAGTCAGTCATTCACCCCAGTGAGCATTTATGACAGTTTGACACACCCCCTCTGTCAATGAGCCCACTTCCTTTCTGGGTGTCACCAGTCATGCAAGCTGTCTCACTGACATGCCCCCCAGAGCCCACCCACCTGGCGCACTCCATAATGAAATGTGCTGTGCATGTCCATGAAGACAGATATACACTTACATATTAACATAACCGCACACAAAGCTTTTACTGTACCTGGAAGTTCCTCTCCTTTTTGTTCAGCAATATCAGATGTCTTGCGTTTAGTGCTCTAAAATGGCAGAAAGAAAAACAGTCAGAAAACCAAAGACACTTTGCAAGAAAAATTCTCTAATAGAAGAGGTTTCTACAGTGCACCTTCAGGATACCACTGGGGCCAGCAATACTTTTTAAACTATTACAAATGACTTATAATACAGTAAATTAGTCTACTTAAGGAAACACTTCAGGCACCATAACAACTTCATCTAATTGAAGTTGTTATGGTGCCTGGCTTCCCCCAGTGCAGACTTACATTTAATTGTTAAACTGTTTTTGACTGGTTTAACATTAAAATATGTGAGTCTAATAAAGCTGCATTAGCGTAAGCTGGCGATGGAGGCAGTGATTTGCTTAAAGTGTCAGCTGACGCTCTCAGTCAATCACTGGCTGGCCATCGCTAGCAAATATCTGTTCAGTTCTATCCTTTGCTTGCGATGGGCGGCCAGTGATAGGCTGAGAGCGACAGAGTGAGGAAACTCAATCCCTAGAAATGTATTAGGTTGGAATAATGGGATTATAGCTGCAATAATTACTGCAAATTGCTCTATCTATAGAGAACACATTGACGAAATACAGAAACAGGGAGACCATCTGAACATTAAAAAATGAGTTAAATATTTAACTCCAATGAGGTAAGAACAAAATAAAAGACCTGCTTCGACCTCTCCAGTGATAAATATTAATAATTAAATAAAGGGTCACCCCTGCATTCTCCTTTAGGACACACCCATGGATTACATTGGAGTTAACATCTTAGAACGCTCAGTTAATGATAAATATAGTTGAAACCTTAAAAAAACCAAATAATTTACTTACCTTTTTAGGGCGCATACATCGAAAACAAGAGAAAATATTTCCCTTTGCCATCGTTAGCTACTTTATCACCACAACAGCTAAGCAGTGTCAACTGTCCGAGCAGTGTCTAGTAACTGCTGTAAGCTGTGACCATCAGGGATGATATGGCACGATGTCATGACGAGCAGTCACAATGGGTCACATGTCCACACCAGCTTACATAGACAAACACAGTTTTACATTGAGACACCACTCACACACAAATGAATTTATTAAAAATAAAATAGAATAATAATATATATTTGTAGTCGGGGATATTAAGCCACATCTGGAGTAGTAGGTGATGATTGCTAGTCGGTTGTGGTGTGCCTGAACAGACGATCGAGTAGGCCTGAAATAATGAGGGCCCACCTAAATAGTATTTGCTAAGGGGTGTTGGTGGGTGGGGAGTCTGGGTCAATCCCGGCCCTGATTAGAGGTAGATCTGGGTATAAATAGGCCGGTTAACCCCTCCCACAACTACAGGTTCCGCCTTAACATTTGTAGTCGGGGATATTAAGCCGTATCTGGAGTAGTAGGTAATGATTGCTAGTCGGTTGTGGTGTGCCTGACCCGACGATCGGGTAGGCCTGAAATAATGAGAGCAAAAAGTTTTTTTAAACAGAACACTTTAATGCTTTATAAATTCACATGAGCAATTCTTTGAAAGCTTTCCTAAGTTCTTTTTCTGGCTGTGGAATGTATTTGCCGTAAGCTGCTGATTTCCACCTTCCTAGTTTTTTAATGATGTACGGGTACGTTATTGCTGGATGCGACTGAAGCGGCGCCGATCCTAAATGAGTGTCCTGAGATGGACATGGGGTCGTGACCTAGTCTGACCGCCAAGGCCCTTACGTAGTGTATGAATTTAGCCGTGCTCAGGGGTTTGTCTGCAATTGTGAGTAGGGGTGAGTAGCTTTGTTAATATTTGAGGGAAAGGCAGAAAGTATCTAGGACTGTCACCGGACACCATTTATTATGGGTCGGGAAGTACTGGATCTCTACAGGAGGTCCCATCTGATTTGATTTGGATTGTCTTAGAAGTAGTATGTAGTGGTCCCCCAGTTTTCACAGATCCCTTATTCTGTTGTAACTTGTGTTGACAGATAGACTATGCACCGTGAATTCATTGGGCCTTAAGAACCCGTAAAACACTATGTACATTGCCGTTTTGAGTACGCAGTTAGTATTAGGTTCAAATAGAAACATAGAATGTGACGGCAGATAAGAACCATTCGGTCCATCTAGTCTGCCCAATTTTCTAAATACTTTCATTAGTCCCTGGCCTTATCTTATAGTTAGGATAGCCTTATGCCTATCCCATGCATGCTTAAACTCCTTTACTGTGTTAACCTCAGCTGGAAGGAAATGGGCTGCAATCTAACAAATCTGATAGATCCTTAAATTTTTTCCCGTCAATTGGTTGTCTTTTGGCTGTTGGAGGGCCGTCTGTGCGAAGCATATCTTTCAGGACGTTTTTCAGGAGATAGGATGACATGAAAGGTTTGTGATAGGGAAATAAGGTGAGTAAGTGGTGCTGTAGGCCCATGAGGTAAAGTTTGATGGTGTTATGTGCCAGCTTAAGGTGTAGGTGCCAGTGAGCGGTGAAAGCAACTATCGTGTCGATGGAAAAGGTGTTGGTGATGTGGTGTTCGGAAGTGAACCTGAAGAAAATAGTAAGTGCTCTATCGTAGGACTTCTTGGTGTAGTCTGACAGAGCAGATTTTGCCAATGTTAGTGTGTGTTGTTTCAGCCGTTTCATTATCAGGTCCTGAAATGTGGGGGTTGGCTCGGGTTTGATGGCCGCCATGGGGTGTTGTTCGAAAAAGGCCTGAAAGTTGGAGCGAGAGAGAGCGTCAGCTGCAATATTTTCCCGACCCGGTATGTGCATGCAAACCAAGTGGAAGTTGTGAGTTGCTGCCAGCCACGTGAGTCTCCTCATGAGTCTCATGATGACTAGGGATGCGGATCTGCCTTTGTTTATGATCTTGCATGTGGCTTCGTTGTCAGAGAGGCATTTAACAGCTTTGCCCTCCCACAACGAACCCCAAGTGTGTGCGGCTGCTACTATTGGGTATAGTTCGAAAAGCGAGGATGTGGTATTAAATGCCTGTAATGTTGAGGTTTCAGATGGCCATGAGTCACGGAACCACTGGTTGTTGTATATTGCCGCAAACCCTGTGTGGGCTGCTGCGTCGGTCCATATGACCGGGGAATCTACGTCGAGTGGGGGTATGAACATGAACATGAAAAATTTCTCCAACTCAGTTTTTTTCACAAATATTACTGTCATGCGTTTACTGAATAATCCCCAATATGTTTCTCTCCATTTAGCCTAATTTAAAAACAGATAATTAAAAACAGAAAATAAAGAAATGAATTAATAATGGCAGCTATTCCCTAGGAGCGTGACTCACATCAATCTCAGGACAACTTTGGTGGATCCTGTATTGCATGTTTTTACTCCACACTGCACTTATATTCCTGTGTGATCCCGTCCTTCACCCGTACACTATCCCATAGCCATAACGTCGGTATGATATGACTCCATAGATTTTATAAAGGGCAGGCAGTTTCCCATCAGATTTGAATCCTGATGTTAGTATTAAGCACATGGATCATAGGCGTGCGCAGCCTATTGCATTAGGGTGTGCACCCTAAAGCACAAACACACGCCGCGTGTATATGTATGTATGTGTATATATATATATATATATATATATACACACACACACATACATACACTGCTGTGTGTGTGTGTGTGCTGCTAGTGTGTTGTGTAAGGGTGCTGTGTGTGAGGGTGCTGTTAGTGTGATGTGTATGTGAGGGTGCTGGTAGTGTGCACACTAACAGCACCCTCACAAACACACGACACCCACACACAGCACACAAAAAGCACCCTCACACACACATCACACAAACAGCACCCTAACACACAGCACACTAACAGCACCCTAACACACACACAAACAGCACCCTCACACACACAGCACACAAACAGCACCCTCACACACAGCACATTAACAGCACCCTCACACAACACACACATACATACACCGCTCTGTGTGTGTGTGTGTGTGCTGCTAGTGTGTTGTGTAAGGGTGCTGTGTGTGAGGGTGCTGTTAGTGTGATGTGTATGTGAGGGTGTTTGTAGTGTCCGTGTTGTGTGAGGGTGCTGTTAATGTGCTGTGTGTGAGGGTGCTGTTTGTGTGCTGTGTGTGTGTGTGAGGGTGCTGTTTGTGTGTGTGTTAGGGTGCTGGTAGTGTGCTGTGTGTTAAGGTGCTATTTGTGTGCTGTGTGTGGGTTTCGTGGGTTTGTGAGGGTGCTGTTAGTGTGCTGTTTGTGTGTGAGTGTGCTGTGTGTGTGTGTGTGAGGGTGCTGTTAGTGTACTGTGTATTTGAGGGTGCTGTATGTGTATGGGTGCTGTGTGTGTGTGTGTGTGTGTGTGTGCTGTGTGTGTGCTGTGTAGGTGCTGTATGTGTGTGGGTGGGTGCTGTATGTTTGGGTGATTGTGGGGGTGGAGGTGGGGATAGATTACTTAATATCCCCCCTCCCTTCTTACCTTATGTAGGGAGGGGGGACCTGCTGCTGCCTTCCCTGGTGGTCCAGTGGAGAGTGAACTCTAGCCTGCGGGGCTAGAGTTCACTCTCGCGAGATCTGAGCGTTGCCGTCGCAACGCTCAGATCTCGCGAGAGGAACCCGGCGGAGCTGCTGGCTAGAGCTCCCCAGGTCCTCTCCTGCCTCCCTCCCTGCTGCAGTGGACTGGTGGGGAGGGAGGCTTAGAGCAGAGCCAGCGCTCAGATAGCGCCGGCTCAGCATGAGCCGACAGAGGAGATCCTGAGATCTCCCCTGCCGGTCTCAATCCATAGGCGTGCCGCAAGGATTAGGGTGTGCCCAGGCAAACCCAGTGCACACGCCTATGACATGGATCATATGAAGTAGTAAATGTAAAAGTTAGCACACAAATAAATTAAATCTTTGTGATGTTCTAAGCCATCATTTGAAAGTCGCTGTTTTAATACAGCGCTGTGCTTGTACGTAGTGTTTGCATTTAAATGCTGGGGAGTATGCAGATATACACAAACATACACACACAAACACATACATACATATAAACACAGACATACACATTAACACATGCAAGGAATAATTTCCATATGTTTAGCCACCCTCCTGTTTCCATGTATTATGGGTGCAGGAGGGTGGCTTTCCTGTGGTCCAGTCGGATGTGACTGCTGGCTGAGGCTGTTGGGAGTCTGGTCCAGGGTGTCTTCTTTTTCTTACTCCTCTTTGCTTTCCCCATGTGGCTCGCTCTGTAAAATATCAACAGTTATGTCAAGCCCTCCACAAAAATCTAGCCCTGTTGCTTTCAAAAAGTAGTAAATAAAATTGTCTAATTGCACCAAAATAGAGCCCAATTGTGCCCACAAATAGCTCAATAATAATCATTACAAAGCTGGCCTCTCATTGCCCTGTATAGTGGACCCTGTATCATACAAAGGCTGGGGTGAGAGGGGCAGTGAGGGCAGTAAAGGTGCTTTCTGTTATTATGCCCCTCTGGTAACCTAGCCTCCATCTTTTCTGTAGGGCTTTTTTTGTGGGGGATGTGGAGGGTTGGACTAATTCTAAAGCAGAAATTAGCTATCCCTATTCTTCTACTCTCAAGATCAGCTGAGGGTCAGCTGTGGCACTCTATCAGCAGACCTGAAATGAGCTGAAGTTGAAAAATAAGAAAGGTACTTTTCACTTCAGTGTGTGTCTTTCTACAACAAGTAGGTATTGTGGATTGCCATTTGGATTAAAGGGACACTATAGTTACCAGAACAACTACAGTTTAATGTAGTTGTTTTGGTGACTGTAATCATTATCTGGAAGCATCTGCATGCAAACACTGCCTTTTCAGAGAAGAGGCAGTGTTTACATTGCCCCCTAGGAACACCTCCAAGTGGCCACTACTCAGATGGCCACTGGAGGTGCTTCCTTGGCCAGTGCTGCACAGTAGGCAGCACTGCCATTCAGCGTCTCCTTTTGGC